TCCTTGTTTCAATGGTCAGGCAGAAAATTTTGTCAGGACATTGAAAACTGCCATTGATTCTATTGCTGCCTCAACATTTGATGAGCTGGAGAGGGGAGTAGATACTTTTCTACTGCAATATAGAAATGCCAGACATTCGTTGACGAAAGAGACTCCATCAAAATTAATAAAAGGAAGGATTCTTTGGTCGAATATGAGATGTTTGGAGTCTGCAGAAGTTACGTATTATCGTGGCAATGATCTTCGACCATCCACGGGGATTGTTCTGAAAAATGTCGGGAAATCTATGGTGCGACTTCTAGATATCAATGACTTAAGTACACACAATCGACATGTTGATCAAATACAATTCCAGTAACCAGGTGAGTGTGTTCCGATTTCAGTTGTTAATTCTAATAATAATGAGTGCATTCTAGATAATACAGAGTCTTTATCCAATACATTGTCGGACAGACACAGCATGAACTTGAGGAGAAGACGTACAATTGATTACAGACACTTAGACTCTAATTTAAGCTGTGGCGGATGTGGTGTTTGAATGAACTAATGACTCCTTTGTACTTGTTGAATGTTTGATTTCGAATTCTAAATACAGTACATTCGTTAGTGCTTGTGTAGTACTTCTGATTCAATTGCGTTATCTCTGGGATTCTTAGTTCATACTATAATTCAAATACTCCTAATCATCATAATATCACATCTACTTGCCACCTGTAAGTTGAAGACCGGAACATGACGACGGTCGTAAGGATTTTCGGGAAGAACTCTTACTTCTGCCCTGGTGTCGACGAGAGAGACCTTTCATCATCCAGATTGCTATGTGTAGCAGAAGGTTATGTCCACCGGCTACGGTTGTCATTTCTTGAAAGGTTAATCGTGTTGTACGATTTGGAGGTTGAGGAACTGCATAGTTTCCTACGATTTCTAGAAGACTAACCATATTTGTTGCGATACCACCAATAATCAAGATTATATTCCTCTCGCTGTCTTGAGATAGACCCTTTTCGTGGAAAGCTGTCTTTGATGAGTTTGGGAGCGTCTACGATTATGGTGAACATTAAGATAACAAGTGACAATATGTCAGAGTTCTGAAACATCGTTCTGTGTTGCGTGTGGCTTTTCGTTGCCAGAATCCTTACTGCAGATGTAGCCAGTTTGTCTACGGCGTTATTGTGGAATGAGCTGAGAACCATCGGCACCTGTCGGGAAATTTCGTCAACTAATGACCTCTCGCATATGTAGCAACATTCCTGTTGCTATGCCGCGTCGGGGAAAAAATGATCTAACTTTTGATGATAGTTTAGGTTTCCACATTTAAGAATAGCCCATTTGGTATGCCATAAGCTTCCAAAAGACCGCTAGCTAACATACTAGGTATGACATACCTGTTACAGTCATGCGGTAGTACCTCTTGCACGTGAGTCTGTCGCGCCGTGCATGTGGAAGTTAGCTTCTGTATAGCAGAACCTGACTTCGATGTCGTCAATCCAGAATGGCATGAGTTGAAGGGTGGGAGGCGAAAGAGTCTTAGTCTTAAACAGCTTAAGTGTCTGTTCCGTCATGAAAAAGATAACACATAAGTGAGCGGAGAAAAATACAATCGAAAGTATAAAAACAATACGACTATGTGTAAAAATGAAAATTGAAATGTGATATATGATCTTACAACACGTAACAGACACACAGTTTACTGTTTGGTGTACCAAATCACGTCGGACCCGCCAGTAAAGATACTACAGGTATTTAGAGTTTGACAACATCCTTCACTCGTAACACTTATATAATCGAAGTACATCAACACTGTCAGATAAAAAGTCAGAAATGAAAGGGTTCGAAGATATAGTTGGAATGCCACTGACATTTCCAGAAACGTCTGGTCTAAGCAGTTGCAAGGGATGCGTAGCACAGAGTACTATCTCGTGATCTGGCGCAGATATATCATCGTGAGCCTTCAGCCAGAATGTGCGCACTAAAATTAATGAGGCCAGCAACAACTACCGTTACACGTTCTTATATGCAGCACCAAAATATCAAAGAAAAGGTAAAGTGGTTGAAAAAGCCCGATGATACAGTTTTGTTGATAATAGAAATGTGATGGTCACTTCCATAACGACAAGTTCCAGAGGTCGGATGATAAACATAATTATCTCATAAACATAAACTTAAGATACTGAATTCATTCGAAGTTGCGTTGACCTTCAATCTGGCAAAATGTTAGCTACGTTACGTATTGGCAGTTCTGTAGGTTTGAATCGTATACGAATGAACCAATAAGAGTCCGACCCCGACTAATGAGAATAACTTTCCCATCCTCACATATGGCGGCTGCAGCTCTGAAAGCATTTCGTGCCAACAGACGTCGGTTGCCAACTGGGATCCACATGCACCCGGACAGGCCATATGACGCCAGGCTCAAGCACAAAGGCAAGCTGGAGCTGACCATTATACTTGTGGACTGTCTTGAAGATAAAAAAACGTGTAAAGGACAGGGCCTACCAATTCTACAAAGCTTATATAGGTAGGCAACCTGCCCATTCACGTAAGGTTCTCACAGAAAAACAGGAAGAAGCTCACGCGTTTCAAATTGAAAGCATTAACTGCTTATTCATGAACGTCGCCAGTCTACCAAATAAAATGGATGAGCTACGTGAACTTAGCAATGCTAATAAGGTTCATCCGATAGGAATATCTGAAACTTGGATATCTTCTCAGTTTTCGGACCAGAAGCTAGCAATACCTGGGATGTCTCAGTTTCGTAATGACAGAAAAACAGGAATTGGGGGTGGAGTAGCCGTATACATACGATCTGGCCTGGAGGTACACCAAGTGCACAACCATGAGTTTAAAAATCTTGAGGAATCCATATGGTGCTCTGTGAGGTTGTCTACTACTTCGAGGTGCCTAGTCGGAGTCATATATAGGAAGCCCACTGCCAACATCGAGTATGACAATCGCATGCTGGAAGGACTATCCCGCTCTACGCGTCTTGGTTTCACTCATATCCTGATTCTAGGGGACTTCGCGGAACATACGTATATTGGAGGTGAAAACTCAATCGAGGCTCGGTTCTTCAACCTCATTGACGATTTGGGATTACACGAAAATGTGAAGTTGGCTACTCGTTGGAGGAACAGTCAGACACCGTCGCTCTTAGACTGTGTTTTTACAAATGAAGGATTTCTAGTCGACAACCTCTCAGTTCTGGCTCCCCTGGGGAAAAGCGGTCACGCCGTTATAGCCTTCAGTTTTGTCAGCAAAACTGAGCTAAGATATCCCAACAACAACAGGCGCTGGAATTTCAAACGGTTGAATGCGTCAGCTCTACAGGACTATCTACAACAGGTGGATTGGGATGTTCAACCTCAACTTGATGTGGATGCTCATTAGGATTTCTTACTGCACACGCTCTTATGTGCTACAAAGCAGTCAAGTCCCTCAAACTGTCCCCAAAAGCCACATGCAACCTACAATCATCAAAAACCGCACTCTTCGTTTGTTAAGCCGTAAAAGACACTGTTGGGCAAAATACAAACGAACCGACAACAACAGCGAGTACAGGCAATACAAACACATAAGGAACATATGCACGAAGGCTATAAGAGAAGACAGGCTCCAGTACCAGTTAAAGCTTATGGATAAATTTATTTCCAATCCGAAAAGCTTATTCCGATACGCAGCCTCTCTTCGTCAAGCCAAAACTGGAGTTTCTCAACTGCTAGGTCCTAACGGCCGGACCGATAATGACGGTGACGCCGCTAACCTCCTGGCTGAGCAATACTCCCGGACATTTCAACCGTCCCACATCAACTATACAGATGACGGCTCTATCTGCAGTTGCACTGGACTTTCCGTAGTGAACCTGAGCGCTTACTTGGTGTTCCGAAAACTGCAGCATCTAAGAACAGACACTTCTCCCGGCCCAGATGTGGTCCATTCTGCTATACTGAGGGAAGCAGCTTCAATCCTGCCAACACCGCTTAGCGTAATGTTCTCACACTCTCTAAGTCGAGGTAAAATACCGGAAAATTGGAAGCTGGTTCATATCACACCAATCTTCAAAGGAGCTCAACACAGCGAACCTTCAAGTTACCGACCGGTGGCTCTTCTCTCTATAACTTCAGAAATCATAGTCCCTGATATACGACGGTATACACGACCATCTGCTGTCCTTAAATTTCTTCTCACCCCAGCAGCATGGTTTCAGGAAGGGTTACTCCTGCATGACGAACCTGCTGACTGCGGTGGACAGATGGACAAGCATCGTTGATCGAAAGGGGAAGGTGGATATCATTTACCTTGATTTCTCTAAAGCTTTTGATAAAGTTAATCACATATGTCTTATCAATAAGCTCAGACAATTAGGTATCAAACCACCTTTAATTGACTGACTCAGTTCATATCTGACAAATCGACATTTTAAGGTCAGGGTAAACTTCAATTTATCACACGCTATGGAATGTCCTAGTGGGGTCCCCCAGGGCTCAGCACTAGGACCTCTTCTCTTCCTGATTTATATAAATGATCTTCCTCAACAGGTAACGTCAGACTTATTACTTTTCGCCGATAGGCGTCTTGGAGGTGACTTTCTAATGGCTTACAGTATCCTTAACACTTCTGGACATCCTCTTAAACATCTACTTAAGCTAAGTCCCAACACTAACCTAAGGGGTAACACCCAGAAATTAGAGATACAACATAGTAGAACGGACTGCGGGCACAAATTCTACTCCTTAAGAGTTGTCAAATGCTGGAATTCGCAGCCGGCTGAGCTAGTTCAAGCAACTTCGCAGGAGTCCTTTTAAGAGACGACTTGATCTATTCTTAAGGACTAAGGATAGTATCTTACTATGATTTACCAATTTCTTTTTTCTCTTTTATCGTTAATATACCTAGGTTCTTGCTTGGAGGTATTGGTGATCCCCTGCTACTAGACACGGATCTTGTTAAGCGAAAGCTTCTTCTATTTCGTCCACAACCATTGGAACCATTCAAACCGTTTAGACAAAGTCTGGCAAACTATTCAAACCCTCACGGTTATCGGTCAGTTTGACCTTCAAAGGCTCAGTAACCTTCATTGGACGATACCACTGAAACATTGCCTCGACCAATCACATTGTTCATAGTCCCTATATTTGCGTTATGATGTGGTATGTTTCATTTATTAAACCATTTAATGCTGTTGACGTACTACATGACGTACAAACGTATACTGCTGTATATCTGAAGAAAGAAATGTTGCTAATAGCATAACTATCTGTTTTTTTAAAACGGATTCAGCATTTATAAATGCTGAATCTATTCGTTTCGGCCGTAGTTGTGTACTCCAGCCCTCATGAGGGCGTGTATTTAGGCGAGAAGTAAACAATTCAGCGTTATTTCCTCCGAACAGGTGAAAAAGCAGACATTTTGGCGCGTTTTCCCTTTATTTTCCAACGCGTTTCCCCCTTATTTCACCTTTGTTTTCCTCTTATTGGTTGTTGGGGTCATCGAGTTCTTTGAAATAAACAGATTCAGATTTGTATGGTAAGGACAGAAAGCCTACGGCCTATGTTCCTTTTCAAGTATGTTTCTGTGAGTGTCTCTTAGATGAGTCAGTTGGAGATGCAGACACCACTGCTTCGGGTAACAGGTCCTAAGAATTGATGGCTCAGTGTGAAAACCTGTATGCCAGTGGTATTTTGTTCTTTCTTGGCTTTTCTATCCGTTTACTCTGTCCTTTGAGATGTCTCGATCTAGTAAGAAGAATAAGATGACTGCATGATCGCTCCTTCCTAGAGGTGGGAGGAAGTTATTTGACTGACACCATCGCCACGTGTGAACATTAGATCCAAAAGAGACCAAGAGCTTCATAAGTCAGATCTGGTGGATTTCTAATGTGCTGGAGTTAAGCTAGGGCAATAGTGGTTTCTAACAATTTGCCATCAAATGTTGTTGATGACCCTAGTTTTAAGTTTCCCCAGTTACAATGTTTTAATCAATTCATCAACAAACTATTGCTTGCTTTAGGATTTGTAACAACAAACATCATACATGTGTCATTTATTGTGCAGTCCTTTAGTGAGAAATGGACGCGGATCTGTTTCACCCTTTTTTAATAGCCATAATATTACACCAAAACATGTGACCATCAGATGATGTCCACTTACGTCTGCAGTATTCCCAGTCCCATACGGAATTTACGCTTTATCGTTTTACCTCTAATTAGATTATGTTTACCTACAACTTTTCACCAGTTTGTGAATCGTTTTTCAGCTTTATACATTTTGAATAAAATGCAATCAATGAGACGACTGAAGTTCTTTTTGCCATATTGTGTCATAACACTGGGTAGTTCGTTTCCTTTTGGATATCACACTGGAGTGATAAATGCACCTGCTGACGTAAGTTACCGGTTAATAATAAACAGAAAACTTTATTTAGCTGATCAAAAGCTTCATAAATACTACTCTGGCTGCTAGGTCAGTCACATGTGATGAACGTTGCGTCGATTTGATATGGTCACTCTGTGTTACGTCCTTCCTCCTTGGGGGGTTTTTCGGAGGCTTGATTGGTGGCGTTTTGGCTAACAAATTGGGCCGGTAAGTTGTTTTTATTCTACAGTTTACTGTTAGAAAAAAATCACTATTCCTGCTTTCTATCCCAACTGTAATTGGGTCACTCCTGATGATGTTTTCGAAAATGGCACAATCTTTCGAAATGATTATTGTTGGGAGACTTACAATTGGGATAGCTTGTGGTAATTCTATCATTTATGAAATATTTCAAAAGGTGCTCATACAGTCGTTGGGCCCATGTTTTTGTCAGAAATAGCTCCTGTCAATTTCCGCGGAGCTGCGGGAACTTTCAATCAGTTTGTGATTGTTTTCGCTATATTGTTGTCACAAGTGCTTGGTCTGCCTGAAGTAATGGGGACAACTGAATTATGGCCATATCTACTTGGTATGATAGTAAAAATGCTAATGTTTTGAAAGCTTTATGTACCGTTTCCAGTGTCATACATATTTTACTTCTGTTCACTTGTCCTGAAAGTCCTACTTACTTATACATTATTAAAGGTGATCGTCGAAGGTCAGAAAATGGTAATGTACTATATATTTTATCATTCACTTTACATATATAGCATTGGTTTATCTTCGAGGGCAAGATTGCGATGTACATGCTGAATTAGAACTATTAAAAATGGAAACAGAACAGTCATCTACACACAAATCAAATGTTTGCGACCTACTACGTATTCCATACTTGAGATGGGGATTGATTGTAGCTTTGGTACCACATATTGGCCAACAGTTTTCCGGTATAAATGGAGTAAGTAACATTCATTTCCAAATGTCACTTTTCTTAAAACCCATATATTTCCTGAATTATTTGTTGTCATGTCCACTAGCTTCACCATAACAAGAAAATAATTCAAAGATTGTTGCTTCTTGATAAGTTTTTTTTTTAAATTTTACTAACCTCTTTCACTTCTGTGCAGTTATGAAAGGTACCTAGTACCGTTATTTAAGTCAAAGTATCTCCGGTTCAGTCTCCATTCATTTATTTGTAGCTAATCAAGTTAAACAAGTGTATAATTAGCTAAAATCCGTCTAAGTGGTAGCGTTCACGAGTCAAAAGCAGATTATTTACCTTAAGTATTAAGTGCTTTGTGCTGGAATGTCTTTGTATCTTCAAAAAAGGTAGGTGATTTTTCAAAGTTGGGGGATTCTTCCTTCACAGCACTGGTTAATTAAAGCCTTATTGTAAAGTGTAAATATATATGTATTCATCACACCGCTTAATGTGGTTTTTAAGTTATTTTCAACTTTGTTTTTATAATTTTCTAATTCCAGCCATGGTTGTGTGTGTAAACCGAGTTTTCTAACCTTTTATTTAGCCTATGGTTATTTTTCATTTTTCACCATCGATATTATCATAATCTCGATTTCTTCTCCTTTTATTCGTTAACCTTTTCGTCCTCACTAAGTTGTTCCTTAATACTTCACTTTCTGTATGATATGAATGTTTAAAATTCTCACGCTTTTCTGTCACTTGCACCTCTTAAATTATCATGCAGTTAAGTCGAAGCTCATGAAATTCATTACTCAGTAATTGAGAGTCAAGCTAAAACTTCAAAACTACAAAATTTCAAGCTTAGAAATATTGGTAACATGGACACATTTCCACCGCAATATATATATATATATATATATATATATATATATATATATATATATATATATATATATATAGTCGTCTAATGTGCCTTACTTATTCTCAGCGCTTAAGAATAAACAAAACGAGATTCTGTATGCTGATACATATACGAGTAATAGTTTTGGAAGCTTAAGGAAGTCGAGAATTATCGAAATTGCAGTTTAGGAAGTTCACGTGATCCGCAATCTAGTTACGGTAAAGTTTCATATAATTATCACGTATGCATTCAGAACAGCAACTACAAAAACTACTGATGCTTTAATTATCATTCTCGCAAATCATGCTAAAAACTATTCGTTAATGTTTATTTTTATTTTGCATTGTGTCACTGGTCTACTATTTTTCCATTTTGTGTATTCCATCTCGATGCGAAGGTCAAGGATCTTTTCACAGAGGAGTGTCGTTCAGGTGGCTAATGGGAACTTGTTGGTCACAGGCCAGATAACAATGACCTTTATTGCAACTTTGCGCAAACTACAACCTGTTTCTGGCTAACAATAACTATCGATACAGTCACCGCCAATGTGCTGCTTGTTGTCCTCCCTCTTCATCTCACCCTGAAATCATATTGTTCACTATTTCAACTCATTCGAATCACTAGTAGCAAGAAGTCTGGTGTGAGTTAAACAATGTGTTAAGCTCATGGGATGTCAGTCAATGACGTCTACTGACGTCTTGGACGATGGGCAGAGTTTTTCGAGAAGCATTTTAACTGGTCTGCTGCCCCGGTGACATCGATCGAACTGTCCTGCTCTTCATTGTCTTTGACGACTGATCCACCTGACGAGGCAGAAGTCCACAGGAAATTTCAACTCTTGAAGCGCCACAAATCACCAGACCCAGATGACATATCTCCGGTCCTTCTTAAAGTTGGTGGCGACCTGGTTAAGGAAATGACTTAGTGTAAATCTTTTACCCGGAGAAAGACTTTTCGGCATGAATCATGTGGATAATATTGTCTTACTGTGCGTACGTACGAAGTTCCATATTGTTACTGACTGACTGACTGTGCTATAATACTCAAGCCATGTAATCCACACTTAATAAGTTGGCAATCAGTATCCGTAGGTATAGCTTTGCTTTACATCTTTCAAGTGCAAAGTACTTTCACAAGATTGGCAGGACCCTGAACTTTCAATCACTCTTGGTAGTGCGCAGATAAAAGTAGTCGAGAGATTCGTGTATCTGGGTAGCTGTGTAAGTGCTGGTGGTGACATGAGTGATGAGATCAATTCTAGAGCGGCTTATGCCAATCTAGGCCATCTTTGGCGCCTTCGTGTTGTTAGTCTGGCGGTAAAAGGCCGGCTCTCTAATTCGTCGGTGAGAGCAGTTTCGCTCTATTATTCTGAAACCTGGTCTCTCTGAAAGTTGAGTGTGTTAAGCAACTCTCGGTATTTGACCATCTTTGTTTCCGACGGATTGCCGAAATCCAGTGACAACACTAAGTTATCAATGCAGAGGTTCGGCGATGTATGTTAGGACATAGTGACGATAATTCACCTGGTGTCACCATTTTAGAACACCGGCTTTGGTGGCTTGGACATGTACTACGAATATCGTCCCAGCGAATTCCACATCGTGCATTATTTGCCAACACTGGAGCGGGTTCGAAAAAGCGGAAAGATGGTCAGTGTATGACATGGTGCCGTGGTATTCAAGAAAGCTGTGCAGAACTGGCTCCTATTGACTCTTCATTATTATTTATTTATTTATTTGAACACATAAATATTGGTACAGGGGGGCACCAAATATATATGCGCCACACAAAAACAATGATAATTTGAAGAGGAGAAAAAAAAGTAATGAACGTGAGGAATTATAAATAAATAAAAAAAAAGAGGGAGAGAACAATGATGGGGAAAACAGAAAGGTACAATCATAAGAAATCTTTCAGTTAAGGAAGATACAACCACTTTTTATGAAGAAAGTAAAAGAAGGTTACAGCGGGATCGCCACTGGCTTCTATTCTGAGCCATATCTGATAACGTCTCTAGCCACTGCGTTACACCATCTCTCGGACCCCAGTCAGGGAGTCGTGAAGGACCAACACAAGCCAGCCCTTTGCAGCTTACTTTCATACCACGACACCATGTCATATACTGACCACCCCTCCGCTTTTTCCAACCAGTCCCAGAGTCGGCAAATAATGTACGACGAGGAATTCTCGTGGACGAGATTCGTAGAACATGTCCAAGCCACCGAAGTCGGTGTTTCAAGATGGTGACACCAATTTCATTATCGTCTCTGTGACCGAACACACGATGCCGGACCTCTGCATTACTGACATAGTGTTGCCACTGGATGCCAGCAATCCTTCGGAGACAACGATGATCAAACACAGAGAGTCGTCTAACATCCTCAACTCGGAGAGGCCAGGTTTCACAAACATAGAGCAAAACTGCTCTCACCGTTGCGTTGTAGATCCGACCTTTTACAGCCAGACTAACATCACGAAGGCGCCAAAGGTGGCCCAGATTGGCATAGGCCGCTCTGGCTTTCACTATGCGTGCATTGATCTCATCACTCACACCACCACCAGCACTTATGCAGCTACCTAGATACACGAACTTCTCGACCACTTCTATCTGCTCACCATCCAGAGTGAGTACAGGATTAGAATCCTGCCAGTCTTGTAGAAGTACTTTGCACTTTGAAGGTGCAAAGCACATACCATACCTACGGGCACTGATTGCCAACTGATTAAGTGCGGATTGCATGGCTTGGGCATTCTCGCACAGTAAGACAATATCATCCGCATACTCAAGGTCGAGAAGTCTTTCTCCAGGCAACAGATCAACACCACCATTACTTACATCCATCAGAGCTGTTTCCAGAATGTCATCGATGGCAACGTTGAAGAGGAATGGTGAGATTGGGCAACCCTGTCTAACTCCACTGCTTGAATGGAATAGTGGAGAAAGGTGGTTGTATGCCCTCACTCTGCCTGAGGTGTTTGTGTATAGGGCTTTTAGGATGTTAATAAACTTCTCAGGCACAACCTTCTTCAATAGACAATCCCAGAGAACAGTTCTGTCCAACGAATCGAAGGCAGCCCTGACATCAAGAAACACTACGATTGTTGGCCTTTGATAAGTATGGCGGTGTTCTAACACTTGGCGGAGGGTGAAGATATGATCAATACATCCTCGACCAGAACGAAACCCAGCCTGCTCCTCGCGAGTCAATCCTTCTCGGGTTCTGAACAACCTACGAAGTATGACGGAAGCCAATAGCTTGGACGCAATCGGAAGTAGACTTATCCCCCGATAGTTGTTACAGGAACAACGTGAACCCTTTTTAAAGATAGGGACAACTATCGACTCATTCCATGACGTTGGTACACTCTCTAGTTCCCAGATCTTTGTAAACAACGTCGTCAGTCCCTTAGTCAAAAAGTCACCACCATCTTTAAAAAGAGCCGGAGGTAAGTCGTCTGGGCCCGGTGATTTGTAACGTTTCAAGAGTTGGAGTTCCTTGCGGACTTCCGCCTCATTTGGTGGATCAGTCGTCACCGGCCATGGAGGGCAGGACAGTCTGACCGATGTTGCCGGAGCAGCAGGCCAGTTGAACTGCCCTTCGAAGAATTCTGCCCATCGTCCAAGACGTCGATGGATGTTAGTGATTGGCGTTCCGTCATCCTCGCAGATTGTTTCGCTTACACCAGACTTCTTGCTGCCAGTGGCTCGGATGAGTTGGAAGAGCTTCCGGTAGTTACCAGATGCAGCTGCTGCTTCCAGCTCATTAGCACGCTCCGACCACCAGGCTTCACGGTCCTTACGCAAGCTTTGCCCGATTTCATTACGTAACATCCTTCGTCTGTGGTCAAACTCACGGTCACCCGGAGTAGACCGACGGGCTTCAATCAGTTGTAAGGAACCAGAAGAAACCCAGTGCTTGTAAGCGGGACGTTTCGCAAACCCACAACAGACTGTACCCGCCATTTTCATGGCGTCATGCAATTGCAACCAATGCTCATCTATACTTTTCGGTGGAATGGTAGCTAGCCTAGAAGCTAGCTCGGTTCGGTACTTACTTGCAACAGAAGTTGCAGCCAGCTTGCTAACATCAATCCTTTGGTGGCGGTCACTTCGTTGTCCACTGAAAAGTAAGGTAAGATTGGCGCAGACCAGAGCATGATCAGATTCCAGATAGGTACTCGAAAAGGAGCGGCAGTCTTGTACACAACCACGCCAGCGGTAGCTGATCGCGATGTGATCAATCTGTATCCAGGCTCGAAATGTAGAAGGGGGACGCCAGGTGGCACATGGGCGATGACTATGCCGAAAGTTAGTGCTAGCCAGAAACAGGTTGTGGTCTGTGCATAGTTTCAGTAGACGTTCCCCGTTATCTGTCCTGCGACCAACGAGTCCCCATCGGCCACCTAAACGACTCTTCTGTGCCTAGACGCCCGACCTGAGCATTCAAGTCTCCAGCTAGTACTACAATATCTGTCGAGCGCACTTTCTGGAGAACAGTTAACTGTTGGTAGAACTCATCCTTGATTGCATCCGGGCTGCAATCTGTCGGGGCATAGGCGGAGATGACGAAAAGACATCGTTTCTCACGCCGATTTCTTCTCACTTTGATGGAACTTTCTAATCTAACAGCACATAACCGACTGTTAATGGGGATCCAGTCGACTAGTGCTGCCTCAGCTCTAGCGCTTAGTGCGACACCAACGCCAGCAAGACCAGACGAAGATGCCACAGGGTCCCCGGATAAACGCACATAAAACAAGCTTTTTGAAGTGACAGATGGAGAGCGAACTTGTAGTACTTCACCAGAGTCTTGAATACGGGTCTCGGATAGACAACACACATCAATATTAAAACTTTCCAAAGACATAGCCAGCCCTATCTGTTTTCCGACATGCATAAGTGTGCGAACGTTGAACGCAGACAGTTTGAATGGTGCATGTGGTTTCAGAAAAGCTGCTTCAGTACTCGTATTCGGTGGCAACATACAATTTTCAACCAGGCAGTGACTCGAGAACGTTTAGATAAAGCTGAATTTTTACCATAGGCGAGCTGCTGTCTAGGTCGAAACGGATACATAAAGTAGGAATAAGAGAGGGTGAATAAATGACGTGGTAGAGTAATAATAATAATAGTACGAGTTATTTTAATGTTAATCAGATAGAAAGGAATATTTTCCATAAGCAAATAGTTCATCATCATGGTTTTAGTGCGTGGGCTGAGATACTGCCCGGGTGCCAAGACCGAAGCAGGTGGTTTTCTTAGGGGGCCACACCCCGAGCCTTTGACCTAAGGGTCTAGTCCACAAGGCAGTGGAGCATCGTGAGGAGATGCGGTCCCATGGAAGACGGTGACCAAAAGTTAGTTCATACGCCATTTGTTCCCGCAGGATACTGGAGCCCATGTGCACCATTGAATTGGGATCCGGTTATAGCGCCGGACATTCGCTTTTCGTCCTCTCATTTTCGTAAACAACACCCCTGCCACGAGAAGGCAGTGAGTAGGACTTCCCTGGCAGAGGCTGTATACGCGTGGCCGTGTGAGAGTATTTCGAGAGGGAGGGCGAACCCTCCCCGCTCTCAGCCATACCAGGGCATTTGGGGGCGGCTCTTCATTACTCCATGGTTGGTGTCCTAGAGATTATACAACACTGTGGTTTGAGACGCTATCAGACATTGTTCCGAATAGAAGCTAATAGAGATCTTTCTGTAACTTTCTTTTACTTTCCTCATAACAGTGAGAGTAACTTTGACTGAAAGAATCCTTCCTGGTTGTATTTTTCTTAACTGAATAGCTTCTCCCGTTATTATTATTATCTCTCATAAACTAACTTCTACTCATTGTTGTTTTTATTGTAATCACTTTCCTTTCACATTCTCTTCACAACCTCATTTTTATTTTTGGTCTATATATATTTTGGTTCCACCTTGCATCAATGTTTATGTACTTAAATAATAATAATTGTTTTATAGCATAGTGGTATAGTTTAAATTCCTGATCTTTATTTGAAGACATCAACTCCAACTGTTTTCAGTCAGTGAAAGTCTGCTAGTTGTCCAATCTTTAAGTATGTTGAAAGAAAGCTGAGGGTAGCCAAACCGAAACGTCACGTCAGTACATGAAGGCTTTAACTGTTGGACTAGGCCATGCAAGGAGATTCAGACTCTCAAGCTGAAATCCTCATGGCAATCATAATCAATGGTTGTAGACCTTAAGAGATTAATGGCCCAAACTCGTTTTCGATGCTGCAGATACACTAATTATTTGTCTTTTTCTAGATCTTGAGCTTCAATATTATATCATACTTTTTATTCCTCAATTTTATTTATTTCCAGAGCATGTTCTCCTTGATCGTTTTCACAGTTTTAAACATGGTTAATATTTCGATTCCTTGTTAATTTCATCTTGGTGTGTTGAATCGATATAACAGCTTAGGTTAATGAACCTTTGTACCAGGTCCTACGTTGTTTTAACTGACCAAATTTCAAATTATACCTACTGTTATCCTTGAATATTTCTGTTCAACGAAGAAATGAATGGATAGATTTTATAGTGTGTCACATATAAAATACTCATTTCGTACATTGATCTGACTAATAGTTTAATAAAAATGATAAATTTTTCTTCCTGTTACTAAGGTCCAGACATATAACTCAGTTAGTCAGCTATACATGTTAGTTTTAAAACTTCTAACTTATGGTAATTTATAAATCGTGTTCAGTTATTAATCAATGAATAAATGCTATTCAGTTAAACTTATTCGAAATCTAATTATTAGTCAGTGTAAGTAAAACCCATAAAAATTAATGTATTGGGATACAGTTTCCGATTGATTTTTGTCGTATAATGAATGTTCATCTATCCTCTTGTCTTTTTTCTTTTCATCCAGTTATATCATGTATGTTTTATTCACAGCACTGCTGAAATGTTATTATCTTTTACTTTAGATTCTTTACTACTTTGTAAGTTTATTCATATCGAATGGGTTAACAAAACAAGTTGCAAGCTATGCAAATCTTGGTACTGGAGTTACAATTCTAATCGGTGCATTGGCATCCATATTTATTATCGATCGGAAAGGCAGACGTCCTTTATTAATGTTTGGAATATCAGTTTGCCTTTTCAGCCTCTTACTATTCACTTTAACTTTGATTATTAAACAAGTGACTGAAATCAATAAGCTCACAATTCTATCTATTGTATTGACATATACGTTTTTATTTGGATTTTCAGTGAGTTTAGGTAAGTCAGTAAGCAGATATTTTGATTTTTGCAGTTTTCCCATGTACGGTAACAGTAGTATTACTGTATTACTTAACGTTGAGACAGATAGTATCTATGTTGAAATTGAGTGTACATTTTACGTATTTGCATAATTTTCTTTATTTTATTCATCAGTTACTTGTAAAGCAAATGCATTTTAAGTGAGTTGAGGTAATCGGTAGGAAACTATAGCCTAGTTTTTGCGCTAGTTGGCACTCGTCAGCAAGGCGTAACTGTAATCTTGAGGGTACTGATGCTTCCTATGGAGTTCAAACCTCCGTCACTCAGCACCACAGTTTAACATGTTATTACTGAAATGTTCGAGTGGCAACCGACACTTAATAGGACTACAGTATTTTCAGTTATTCTTCGCTAAGCAATAGCTAATATCATGCTTCTTTAGTTTTTGGTAGACTAGTATTTGTTATAAGTAAAAGTAGTTGATAATAACAGCCAGTTCGCCGATTGAACTACTTCTCAATATTACATCGAATAATGTTCAGGCATCTCAGAATGAATAACTGCATCATTTTGCCCCATCTTTTACACAGTATTAATTTTTCGGAATTTGACAGAAAATTAGATAACTAAAATATCTGATAAAAATGCTATCAGGATTTAAACTTTATTTTTAAACCGCTACATTGTTTTTCATCTAGTGTTATAGTTTATTATTGAAATATTCTTCTCTGGGTGGCCACTAAGTTTCCTCTAGAAAGTTTCTAAACAGATAATGATGTCATTTAACCTTTCAACTTCCTTCCCTTATGATAACATCGGAAGCAATTATTGTCTAGACCTGTAGTCTTCGTACATTGTGGTATTTTCCGGTTTTCATGACTACAGCCAGCGATCATCTGGAATCAATTAGATATGCTTGGATCGGTATAATTCAGCTAAAAGTCCCCCTAATTGAATATTCGTAAGCTTAAGAGTACATGAAGTTGTTCCATAGAGATGGTAGATTTTTTCAGCACCGACCTTCCGAGAGTAGTAGCTGAAACTGAGTTTTTGCAAGTATTTAACAAATTATTATTCTCTATGAAAAATTAACACCGACATTGGAAAGTCATTACAAAATGTAAAATTTTCAGCTTTCTGTATATTTCCAGTTGACAGAGTAAAGAAGCGATGTTGTTGAGAATCTTGTTGTTTCCACTTACCAGTAAAGTTGGTTTACATTATTGACTCAAATTCGAACTAGATGTAGGAGGACATATATTAATGAGTTGTACATGTGTCCCCCTGGTGGGCAACCTATGCTGCTCCACGAAGGGTAACAGGCGTAAGTAAGTAAGCAAACATATGTCTTTACTGTGAGAAAATTGTACTAGTTATGAAACTTAGTTTCATGCATTTGATTTTATGGTTAAACCATTATCTCCTACCAATCGACACTATCTAGAAACACTACAATATTTCAAATAAATTTGACCTTAAAAACCACCATTCCTTTTGAATTTCTTCAAAGATTCTTTCAAAAAAACTTTTAGGTTCTATTCCATGGTTTTTGGTTTCTGAATTGTTTACGCAAGAAAATCGTGATGCTGCTGTCTCTATTGCTGTAGCAACCAACTGGTTATGCAATGCTATTGTAGCGTTAATATTCCCTCAGTTGGTTGTAAGTTGAACCAGTCTAATTTCTGTTGTTATTTACGAGTAATGATAACGCTTTGTATACGTAATCCTTTTCTATGTTTATCAGGTGTAAATTTTCCTAATTCCGATTTTATTGTTTGTTTAAAGCATAAAATTAGTATTATATAAGTGTAAAGTAATGTAATGTACCACATAAAATGAAATCCTACATTATGGATGTACAAATATGATAGGGTTTGAAATAAGAATTATCAGATAGACAGTTGTGATTTCATAACCACACTGGATATGTGAAGAAAATTAACTGGAAACTTGTAGCATTATGTCTGTTTCAAAGTACATGACAGAAATGTTGTCTAACGGTCGTCCAATCCCGATACTGCTATACACTTTCTCCATATGGAAGCCTAACCTGGTAGTCGAGTGAGAAGACTAAGAATGAATGAGAAGTTGTGTTGGGAATCCAAATGAAAATCCACACAAACTTGATGATATATCAGTATAGGATTGTGTGGATTATTGAGTTTCACTGAGATCATAAACCAATTGATGTTAGATCACTATTGGAAACCTGGATGCACTGGACAGCCTATTCGTCCTTGTATGGGACTCCTTAGCAGTGTACATCCATAATTCCGCACGCCGGACTCAAACTTAGGACCATCAGTTCCGCACGAACCCCTAACCTTTAGACCACTGAGCTAACATTCAACGATATTAATGTCTAAATTCAGTCAATCCATTACATTGCGTGACCATCTTCCATTGTTCTCGACGAATAACTTCCTCACAACCGAAACGGTTGAACTTCATTAGTTGCGGCTTCTCACTAGAACTCTGAGAATTACCTCTCGAAGTTAGTCACTAGTAAGCACATGATGATTACCAGTATAGGGTTGTGTATATGTATACATGTGTCCCTCAGATAATGTAGCCAAAGCCCGGCTAGAAACGTTGATCTATCAACGTCTGTCACCTATTATTTGGCCTTGAACTAGCATGTGATACGTCTGGACCTGCCTAGCCTACTACCCCTCCATTTTGGAGCTTCGCTACACAATTTGAGGTGAGAACACATTGCATACCCTGTTGAGAAATATGCCGACAAGTATGTTTATATACAGGTTTTTAAAATCATAGTTTCCGTTTTTAAAGTCTTCCACTAACTCAATGCCCAAATATTATGCAACTATTAGTTCGAATATTATATATATATCAATGTGATTTGTAAGAACTTTCGTCGAAATTTGAACTAATAGTTGCGTAATATTTGGACATTCAGTTAATGGAAGACTTTAAAAACGGAAATTATAATTGTAAAACCTCAGCCGTTGAAGTCGAAATAACTCGAACGTTCCGCCCAACAGTCTGGTCTGAACTTCAGGAAAATAATCATACATAAAGATTATCAAATATAAATATGTGGTTCAAAAATTCTACAATCAGTATTATTAACATGGTTGAACGATATGTTTAGTATACAGTTAATTTGTGAACCATCTATCTGAGTTCGATAATTTTAATGTATGCTTCGACACACGTATCTTCTACTTTCATAAACCATGTTTTATAGCCATAAAATAGGGTACAGCCAACTTCTGGGAAGTATACTCATCTTTTGGTTAGCATATGGACACTCCCTACCCAACAATTGACTCCAGTTGTCAAAAGCAATCGAGGATTTCTGAATTCGTGACAAGATTTCCCCAGACACCAACCCATTAGGACTAATGAGACTCCCAAGATAAGTGGAATGACCAACAATAAACTATTTCACTTCCTATCATTACTTCAAATGTTAACATTGACCAATTCTGAAGAATCATTTTGCATTTAGAAGTAGAAAAACCCTTTCCAAATGTGCTTGCATTGCTGTTCGAGTTGATCAAAATACTTTTGATGTTTTCAATGTTGTAGTCCTTATCCAAAGTTCACTTATAACGTAATTCTCATTCAAACAACGAACTGGTTTTAGTTATCGTCTTGCATAGTGTTACTGTCATGATTAGAATTCAAATATATCTTTTCAACGAGAAAATTCACATCGTCCTATTGATCTAGACTGATGAACTATCGCTCAATCAGATTTTGCTAAACGTCAGAACTTTGTCTATCGTGCTTGTGTTCGATTATTTCATATAGTCCGGTTGTAACAATTTTGTAATTAGTAGTAAAGTTCAGTCGATGTTACTTACTGAAGTCTGTATAACAACTGATTATTTTGTAGTTTTTTACATACTTTAAAATCATAACTTTTCTCTGAATATTTGATGACCAATTGAGTTAACTTCTGTACTATTGTTCGTTGTGAAAGTAGTTCACATGTCCTTACACTGTATGGCCTATTTATAGAGGGCTTTTGATTTTCGTGAAATTAACAGCATTCAAATTCATCAGTCAAGTTTTAATAAAGTTTGCTATTCCCAAGTATTGGTTTATTTCTCTGGAAACAGTTTAGACCACAGATTCAAAACCTTGTTTTCCACTTAAGAAAGTTTGGATGACCTAGTACGACTTTTAGCCTCTACAATAGATGCGTTGACATCTCAGTTACGTATTGAGTATCATTTTTCTATTTACCCTTAGAGCCAGTTGATTAAGAAGTTTTGATAGGTAGTCACTATATTAAAGAAAGCTAAGATAAATTCTAACTAGTTAGATGACAGCGATCATGGAATAATATTTCGTTGTTACAAGCCTAACGAGGTTACCTCTACATTTCAATTTACTTTATGCTTATTATAGATTGTTTCAGTGAGTTGAAAGCACCAAACTACTTTAAATAACTGTTTTAGACTTAGTTTTCAGCACTTGTTCGATTATTGCCATATGAAATTTAGGTAACAACTGAATTGATTAGTGTTTATATGGTATATTTAGCTTTCTGGTTCATAGTTATCGATTAAAATGTCCAATTAAGAAATGCATATATTCAAGTGATACTTTTTATATTAGGTACCACTGCCAGATCTTGCAAATATCGTTTTAATAAGATTTTTTTAACGATAACTTTCTACTGAAACATTAAATTACAAACATAGGAAATCACACTATTAGATATGAAGTTTTCGCTACAGACGGATATCAGTTAGAAAAAACCAACAGCTATTTGCTTCTAATTTCAAACTTTTCGACTGTCTGTAACTACAACACAATAATATAACCAGAACCCCATCACGAACCGACTAAAGTGGGAAATGCGGACCACTGGATTCATAGATGTTTAAAAGTGTCACACTCGCTACAAGACCAGAATGTCCCAGGTTCTAGCCCATGTAAAGTCGTTATTTTACACTGTTAATGAATTACAGACTTCCACGAAGCAGTATCTTAGTATCCCTTAGTTCTTAGTAGGCCTCTAATTACGAATATTGAATAACTGTGCAACTTATCAGTTACCTGATAATTAATCTGGGCTAGGAACTAAGGTCATAAACTGATCAATATTGCTGCACTTCACCCTGTTTTATCGGATAATGTTAAAAATTTCTTTATTGCTTCACTGGATTTAATAAGCTTTTCATTAAGGTATGCTTCTTAATTACAAAACCAAATTTTAACATAATTGTTTTTTCCTAAAAAGCTAATATGAAGTTCACTTTTTTGATTAACTTAGACCAATACTCTTCGCTATGGAAGATTTAATTTCGTACTGAAAATTTTCAGGGCTTTATTAAATATTTCTTGACTTATTATTACTATTATTATCATTATTATTATTATTGTCGTCCAACATAACACTTACGCAACTAAGATTACATTGTTATTTAACGGAATAACCTTTATTCCTAATTAAATTATAAAAAAAGAATCCTGTAAACAACAATGACGGGGAAAATGTGATCGGAATTCAATAGTTAATTTGATATTTTTTTCAGCATATTTCTGCTGTTTTGTTTTAATTAATAATATTGGTCAACTGTCATATAGTTCAAAGTATCTATACATACTTTTTTATATCGTCTCAAAACAACAAAGAACACACACATAATAAGAGTAAAGGTAGCTAACACTGTAAATTTCATCATTCACTCACAAACACTAATTATCATCTGTTAATGCAAGGTAATGATTTTTCGTTTAGACAAGTAAATAAATCAGTTTAGAGTTTTGTTCAGATTACAGAATTTTCTTAGTTTTTAGATCATGAACTAATCTCAGCTAAGCTACCTAGAAAACACCGGACAACTGTTTCGTTCTAGTATGGGATTCAGTGGTGCTTATGCATGACCCTATGTCGATAATAATCATATGCTTACTGGTAACTAGCTTTAAGATACAACTCCTGGAATTCTAGTGGGAAACCTTAACCAGTGGAATTCAATCATGACGGGTGTAAGACAGTTATCTACCATAAAAAATGCAAGATAATGGCTAACTGGTTGAAGCTAGATATGTAAAGCATTGAATGTTGTATCTGTGTTCTAAAGGTTAAGTGTTAGATGCAAGACTGAAGCTTCTGAGTTTAATTCCTCGTGGTGAGGTTGTCGGTACACACTTTCGAGGAGTCTCATAATACTAGGACGAACCATCTGTCTAGTGCTTCCTGGTTTTCACGGGTAGTCTAGTAAATATTAGTTCATGATTTAAAACTATGAAACAAATAAGTGTTAGAACGAATATAGCTGTTGAGAAATCAAACAATATCATTATTACTTACTATCATATGTTATTTTCCTAACTTTATTCATAAGCGTAATGATAGCATGATGTTATGAATATATATAACAATCAAATATGTTAACCACTAATAATTAAAAATTAAGGTACACGAAATGGTCGAGTAGTATATGCCTCTAGATAGTTATGTTGAATGTTGGTACTATAGTGTGATCTATTTATGTATCGCAAAATTCCATAGCTTATATCAATCTAGGCAACCTTTAGGATGACCAAGATGCCAGATTGATCATAAATAATTGAATTTACAACGTATCGTTCCCAGTAATTTTGTACTGGGTTTAAAAATATTAGTCTGTTCAAAATAAGGATATTTAGCTATTCTGTATTCCATGGTCATCGTCTCCAAATGATCGCTTATTTTAAGTAGTAACTTTGTATTACTCTTACCGAAGGCCAGTGAAGTATATTGAGTCATAGTGGAAATGGTAACCCACTATATGTTACCTTCTTGAACAAATCAATAAATAAACCAGTATTCAATATTTAAAAGATGATCAAGAGTTAATCCGTCTAGGTCGCAACCATAGATTGTAGTAGTATGATCGACTCCAAACTCATAAACATCTCTCTTCACAAGGATCATGTCAACATTTTATGACTTAGTAAATTAATGTCATATCTTGATTTGACTTGTTCATTTTTTTCAATCTGTTTTTATGAAGGTCACTATAATACATCGACAGATGTTCATTGGTTATATTTCCAACAACTTCGGTCAACGAAGGTTGACACCTTTGTTAAATGATTTACCATTTTTTATCCCTAGTACCTAATGCCTAATATTACTCAAAATTGTCCACTTGTTCTGTAGGACATAAAAAATAGATCGAATGTCAGTAAATCATCACTTTCAATGACAATCTATTGAACTTGTGTTATGATAGATTGGAGATTTTATATACCAAACTCTCTCATATTGCTGATACAAACTGTGGTAATCTGGACTAACTCACATATGCTCCAGGTCCTACGTTGTTTATTTGAATTTTTCTATTTGCTAATTTATTTGAAAATGGGACTATGTATTCATTTATATTTTAAGATGTCTGGTCTTCTATTTGTGAAACAAAAAATGAGTAGCTTTTCCAATGTTTTGATCTTATCTATTTAATTTCTTGTTTCCTTTTTTTCTTCACAGATCTACATTAGCATTTATGCTTTTATACCGTTTATATGTGTATTGTTGGTTGTATTAATATTTGTCGGATTGTATCTACCTGAAACGAAAGGAAAAACGCCAGCTTCCATCGAAGCTTACTTTATGCGTCGTTGTGGTTTCCGTGGGACAGAAGTACATGAAAATCCAACATTTACAGATATAATAGATGATACAAGTAAGTCTGTTTAAGCATAATTGTCATCAGTTGTCAGAAAGGCGTGAGTCTTGTTTTTATACTAGTTAGCACAGGCCAATAAACAATATTCGCAATATTAGGGAAACTTGTACTCCCCATAGTATTCAAACCCACATTTTCTAATGTCACAATCAATGACGACATTTGAGTTTGTGCCGATCATGTCATTCAGAAGAACGATGAAAGCTCCACGACCAAACCATCCAGCTTAGAGAACAAAACTCCATCAAAATCATCCTACAAATCTCCACCATCTGTGTCAATACTTGCCCATGTATATATCAGAGCAATTGGAGTTTTCGTAAATAGAAGTGATTGGAGTATTTTAAGAGCATTCTAATGTTTCATTCTACCTAAGAATAACACTATATTAATGAGGATTAGTTTCATCCAGCAATCTTCGCTTTCCGGCAAAATTCACATTGTTAATTCTTCAGTACTCATTTATATGAATTAAACCACACTGTTCTAGAATTTCTCATTGATATCCATAATTTAGCGTGTTTATTAATTTTTCTAAGCACGTTTATCCAAGATACTTCTATTCTGTTGTGCATTTGAAAAATATGTACGTTCTAAGAGATAGAGCAACCGTATATGATCAATTTAATCACGTGCTTATGTTCTAATATAACTGATAGTTATTTTTTAGAGATGATGTATCCTAAATATTCTGGTCTTATTTCATCTGATGCTTTCAATATCTTTTCGTTGGACTTACACTAATTATGCATCGAACCTACCAGAGATCTAATCCAATTTTCATGCAAATCTCATTGTTTCTACCTGCTGAGGTTAAATATTTTAAAATCTCTCCAAAATACCATGTAATCGTTATTATTTATATAAAACTTATTACCTTTACTCATCGAATTGCACCGATAATAAAAAAAATCTATGAACTTTGTTTCTTTTATGTGTACTCACCTATTGGTTGCTTATCGTACCAGATTATTACTTGTATTCCATGGTCAATGGTCAAAGCACTTTAAAGTTTACCGTTTTTCATGATTTGGACAGTCAAATCTCAAATAAATCAACATTTCTTTTCCTGATCTAGTCAACAATCTCAAATGTTTTTTCTGTCTTAAAAATGTATTATGATAACACAAGTAACGGTCATGGGTTATTTTTTATCCAAATATTACTTTATAGCTCGACGATTTATTATTGTACAAACACTTAAATTTCATGGTTAATATTACGAACTGATCTTAATTAATCACGTAAAACCAAGAAGCACTAAGTAGTTGTTTTGTCCATGTATGTGAATCCTAGGGAGTGAGCTTCCACTATCCCGCCAAACATTGAATGCAAGATCTTATACTTCAGACCAGTGATCCAGCATCCAATCAATTCACGATATTGCAGAACCATCTCCCATTGTCATTGATCAGTAACTATCTCACACTCAACATAGTTGACTTCCTCCAGTCATGGTGTCCTCAAAATCTCCGGTACGGCCGAGGGTGGGGAGATTCCGCTCTCTCTCGAAATGCTCTCACATAACCATGTGTATCCAGTCACTACCATGGAAGTCCTACTCACTGCCTTCTCGCGGCATTACTGTTGTTTCCGAAATTGAGAGGACGAAGAGCGAATATCCGGAGCTTTAACCTGGTTGGTGGACACGGAGGGTTGGAAAACAGCTAAGGGCAGCCAGACCAAAACATGGCATAAATCCATGAAGTCACCGACAAGTGGACTGAGCCTTGTTGGTAGGTGTAGACTACCTGGTTGGGATCCGCGATACCATAACAACCGATGGTTAGAGATCTTGAATGACGTGGTTTAAAATCCTTTGCAATGGTGCATGTGCATCCACTCTTTGTGTTCTCCCAAATTCTAATCTTCTGAATTCTTCATGTTCCTTTCCTTTCTCTCTTTCCAAACTTATTTCACTGGATTATACTCGTTGAACAATATCTTCAAACCTTAATGTTTCCGATTACTGCTTATACTCTTACTACCTCTACCACTATGGTATTTGAATCGACAATTGTATCACTGTGCTAATTTGGTATGGCAACTTGAACTGATGTACGTACGTACTAAGTTCTACGGTGTTGCCGACTGACTGAGGGTCCATCTAGGGGGATTGGAAAACCCTGATTCCAAATCAGTGGTGCACATTGGCTCCAGGGTCCTGGTGGAACAAAGGGCGTACGAACCAATCGTTGATCACCGGCTACCATGGGACTGCATCTCCTTACGTTGCTCCACTGCCTTGTGGATTAGATCTTTACGTCGAAGGCTCCGGGTGTGGCCCCCTAAGAAAATCACTTACTTCGGTCTGGGCACCTGCGCAGTATCATAACCTACACACAAATCAATTGAGATTTGTGTGGCGCATATGTATTCGGTGCTCCTTTGTACCAATATTTATGTGTTCAAATAAATAAATAAATTTCCGACTAGAACTGTGAGAATTGCCTAACGAAATTAGTCACCAGTGAGCACCTGATTAATATTACGATGTAGGGAGTTTGTGGAGATTATCCAATGTGATAGTTAACATCACAAACTGATTTTAGTTAAACAACTACTCAGATTCCAAGTTATCTGTTCCGTATTCTCAATAAGGTTTATTTGCCAGTGGAATAACTAAATATCTAAGTTTGTTTATTCTACACCTTGTATAATATGTCTTCAGGATGTTATTGTTATCATTAATCTGTTCATTCATTTATATCTCAATCATTTCTTTTTTGTGATTTTCAACCATTGATTCACAAGTTCCTACTCCGTGTTCTTCATTCTACTTTAGTTTAGGACATTTACATAGTATCTTTACTCAGCTAGCTCTCATACAAATCATGTACTTAAAAGCTCTGACTTCATGGGGATTGTATTTGGTTATCGTGTACAGTCGTATTACCTTTTTTTATCAATATCTTCAAAAAATAATGGTGAATTGAAGTGTATAATTATTGGATTTAAATGTCACTACTCTACTGTTCTCGATTAAAATCTCATAGTTTTCCAGTAAAATACTTATCGATTCGTGAAATTCTTGTGCTTTTTTATGTATTTTTTCAGCACAATCTTAGTTTGGTAACGGTGGCACTGGTGACTTGGTTCACAATTCACATTGACAAGAATATATATATATATATATATATATATATATATATATATATATATATATATATATATATATATATATTTATATATATATATATATATATATACAAAATTAATCCTTATATCAAGCACTATTACCATTATAAATTTTATTAGATACCACTATTTTTTGGATATTTTATATATAAGATTGCCAAATACTTTAACACAGTTCTATTTTCTATATAAATTATGTCAGTATGTGTGACTATTCTTTTATTTTGATTCATTGTAATATCTTGTCGTTGTCTATTTAGTTTGTTATTTTCTATTTAAGGTTTATCTTATTATTTAAAACCATTACATCATGTCTATCTCATTTGTATTCATTGATTTTCTTCTTTGAATCTTTATAGTTTTCTCAGTGTCTTTTCTGTTCCATTTCTCTGATGCCTAAAACATTTTTTTTCATTTATCCCTGGGTTCTGTTTTAATGCATTAGATAATATTAAATTTAAATGATATATCACAAAACATTACTTATTTTCTTTTGTCTTGATATTAAACATACAACAAGTGTATTAATAATATTTCTAATTTTTTCTTTCTGTCAATGATTAATAATAGCTGATAACTGTGTTTTTTCTTCGGGCGCTCGTTTTGTATTCACTTATTTTCGCTGAAATAAAACATACTTTTCTTTCATCAAAAGTCTCTCTCTCTCTCTCTCTCTCTATATATATATATATATATATATATATATATATATATATATATATATATATATATAGTTCTAAAATGAATTCCAAAAAGTTCGAATGGAATTCGACCAAGTTAGATGTGGTAAAGCATTTATCTACGAATACGGATCATATTTACATAACAGGTTGACAGAAGTTAAGAAATGATATCATGTTCTTCATAAAACTTGAAGGACCTGCGTTCAATCTTTTACAGGTTATTGGTTATGTCTTACTATGAGGTTCCAAACTACAATGGAATGACTATCCTGTACTTCATGGTTCTAAATGGTTATCCAGTTTGGTGTTGCTCTGATGCTAACTGTTCGGGTTCACGAAACGTTATTCCTCGTCTCCCAAAACAGTACTGTAAACTACATGTTTGGACCTTGTGTTAAATAGAACAACAGGTTTTCTTGGATAGGACTCTAGAATCCCTTGATATCTAAATATGGTTTCTCCGAAACACTCATACGGGATCTAGGTGTCGTAATTCACCTGGCCTCGCCTATTCAGTACAGAGAGCCATAGCGGTTTACCCTCCTCATGACCTCAATGGGATATGTATAACATTAGGTTTAAAAGCAAAACAGACTGGATCCCGATTGACAATCATTTATGTACAATTTGAGTAAATGAGGGGTTAAGAACACGGAAAGTTAGGTATATAATCAGATAACTTTCTATTAACTCTCACGCTCCCACTAAATGCAGTCCGGATGAGTTGTAGAGTAAGCTTTCTTCTTTCCTAAGAAAGGCAAACCCTCAGATGTAATCGTAGAAGGAGGTTTTGGTGCTTGAGTAGATAGTCTAAACCGAAGTTAAAGATTTTAAATGGCCTTACAGTGTTCCAGCTCAACGAACAGACAACAGCAGCCGTTTGATTCACCGATGATCAGACAACCTTTTATTCCTAAAAATCACCAAATTTAAGTCTAAAGACATCGTCCGACGTGGTGATCTCCGCAATCAACTCAATTATAGGTGCAAATAGACTATATCGTCCTCAGCCGTCGTTGAAGAGGTTAGAGAGAAAACTATTGGTCATTGTGAAGCACATTTCGAGACTAATCATGCTCTAGTACCGACACACGTTTCTTACGGGATGCAGTGAAGTCAGCAAGAAAATCTTGAGATTAGCTCAACGATTAAAAAATCAAGAGTACATTTCAGGAACAACTAGGAAAGCAGTTGGTCACCGAAGTTATGTTCAACCTAATGTATGTTGGGAACAGGGGTAATATCCACCACTTGATATAAGCAAACGATTAAGAACCAACAGATTTCAGCGGCGTTCACTGAACTGATAGAGACTGGTGAACTCATCTCGACAAACTCAGAATACGATGAGGAGAGAAGGTATGTTAAACGTAAAAATGACAAATTCTACTCTCAACCCAAGAGATTGAAACTGTGAAGAATTGTTCAACTACTTTCCACTTGCGTAATGTCGCCAAACAACCTAAATGGGATATTAATGCAGACCCTATAAATCTTGATAAAACTGAATTCCATAGCTAAGGCAAGGGAGTGCAGCCAACCTGTAAACTTTCAGGATTATAGTTCAGTTCCAATTATTAGATCGACTGAAATACTACTTAGAATCTGGGAACTGGGCGTAATTACATCTGACTGGACTTGATTGATGTTCGTCCCAGTCTGTAATAAAGAATAAAAACATGTAACAGTCACAAATGAGTCAATTTGAGTAATATATTATCCTAAATATTAGCCTCAATGATCATCCAACGCTTAACTAGGGTTAATGAAGGGAAAACTAGGTTAGTTTCAAACTTGAAATTGGATGGATAGATACTGATAAAGTGCAGAGTATTCTAACAATCTTAAGCAACCACACAACCATGTTTGGAATGCGTTTGTTTCCCTCTAAATGAAAAATGTTGCCTTAGGACTGGTTTACGTCACGACATGAACAAATGATAGAGAGTGAACTAGTTGGATGCATAGACCTTTTTACTTATCTTGGAAGTCTCATCAGCCTTAGTGAGTTGGTGTCTAACGTGGTTTCAGTATGAACTCAAATCTCGGCTTGGCTTTTATCAATTTACATCACGTATGCGGTAGGGAACGTGTTCATCTGCTAACCAAAAGACAAATGTACTACTCAGCAGGTTGATCCGTTATATTTCATGGTTGTGAAACATGGTTTGTAGAAATAGGTATTCGTTAGTTACTAGTATCCGATCGTGGATACCTTCGAAGCATTACTTGTATGTATTGAGACCATCGAGTTGGTAATCGTGAGGTTAGATACAGTGCGCTAGGTAAAGACATTGAATTGATTGATAAAGTAGTGAACCTTGACCAGCCAATATGGTTGGAACATGTACTATATATCCTCATCCACTGTCTACTCTGATACACATTATTGTCCGGTGTGTGGGTAGGTTGCTAGAAAGCTAAGAGCGGACAAACCAAGACGTGGCATCAGTCCAAGAAGTTACTGGCTATTGGACTGTTGCTTTACTGTTTTGGAATGGAGATAGATATGAGAAAAATGAACAAGAATTGGATGGAACTAGAAAAGAAGGCCCAGGACAGAGTGGGTTGGAGAATGCTGGTCGGCGGCCTATGCTCCATTGGGAGTAACAGGCGTAAGTAAGTAAAGTAAGTTTACTGTTTTGGGATTTACCTTGACCATTTCATCTTCCTGTTAATGTAGTCAACTCACACGTATGCCAGCTTCTACGTTGCATATGACTCACTGTTAGCCCATAGTGAAAAACGTCTTTAAACCAACATTTTGCCCATTATAATCGGATCAAATCAGTATATATTCAGAATAAGCTTTATGAGCTTTCGGTCAGATAAAACTTAATTAACCTACATTCAGTACTATTATGTAGATTAGAATATGTTGTCAAAAGCTTCATTATACTCTCATATCTTTATTCTATAATTTATTAAATGTACTTAATTTCTATTGATATCTCTACTTAGTTCCTTTCCATATTCATATGGTGTGCAAAAATGATTTAATCTGTTAGCTATCATCGAAATTTCATTGTCTTACAAATGACCTACAAAACATGTATCTTACTATCACGTATGTTTTAAATGACTTGAAATCCGTATTTAATATGTTACATATATGTGTATCATTTCACTGGAAAAAATCAACTTTTCACTATTCAGATATTTGTCTTACGATATATGTTCATCAATTCGATTGAAGCGATTAATTGACATTTGAACTCACGTTGTGAACGAGAATAGCTGTGGGGACAACCGGATGTATTTGAATAGAAAATTACAAAATCTCTTAGTAAAATCTGAGAAATATACAGCAAATACTTCATTTGTAAAATGCCCATCAATTGTCTCAAACTTGATTGTTCCTTCGTTTCCACACTAATCATTCTTTGTTATCGTTCTCTTCTCTTCGGTCTTCTTAACCTTATGCCACCAGGCACTTCGCTTGCAATTGATGATACATACTACTTATATCTGTCGACATCAGTAGCACACACCACATCATCTCAAAGCTCATTCACACATAGATGTATACCGTTTTTTATTATCGAGATAAATATGCCAAAAGAAATTCAAGCGATATAACGTATTCTTTAATAGTATGAATCTGTCATTTGTTACAATTTTCCGAGTATATGTATCAAACAGTTCTATGTGCTGTGACATGCACGTTTATGGCCTGTGCTTCGCCAACTTAAACTGAAATTCTACTTCATGAACATAACAAACTAGGAAAGAAAGGGCCATTGTAAAACAAAATAACTCATGTGTATCAAACACCTCGTTATTATCTCTAAGTGATCTTGTATAATGCATAGAAAAGTTGTTCAGCCACTAATAGTTCACGACAAGACAGAAAACAAACTGAAAATATGAATAATCAACTCAAAATAAGACCTTGATTAGTTTGAAACACAATTTGATAGCCTGTTTCTTCTCTGACTCAAATTTATTCCCAATGATGAAAGTATTCTGCCATTATTTATACAAAGGTTCAAGTTTGTCAGTATTTGATGCCGTATTCAGCTTGTATTGGTATTTCCATAAAATATATGCAGTTAGAAAACAATCTGTTATAATTGTTATAGTTTATATTTCCTCATTCATCATAATTCACTTTTGGATCCTGTCGTTATATGTAAGTGAATTGTCGTTCTTATTTATGGACAAGTCATAAAACTTGTGCTTATCAGGGAATAAATGAAGTTGGCTTAGCAGTCATAGGTTTGCCAACAAACGCAAGACGATGTTTACGTGGGACCGAATGCACTTTCTGTCACAGTTGATTTTGGACGTGATGAAGTAGTAGTTAACATGCATGCTTAA